AAGGGCTGAGGCATTTTATATGCACCCCCCCATGTCAAATTGCCAACAGTGAGACATGCAGGGGTCCAAGGGTGCCAGAGGTTTATGGGCCCTGCCTGAAGTAGAAGTTTAAATGGTAGCATTTAAAGTCAGGAGGCAATGTCATCATATTGTATCTGCCTTCTTTCCCTGTAACTGTATCCCATGGTGTCCTTTTCTTTTCTACGTGACAACACTCAATCAGTAGGCAAGCAGGTAATAAGCAAAATGAAGAACAGCACTCACCACTTCCCCCACACACACACTGGAGAAAGATCCTCTTTTACTGAGTACCCCAGCCACAATATTACAGTTACTGTAAAATAAAAAGTGCTACACTCTCATGATGATGGGTTTTCCCATCACCTGAAATATTTTTTACTGAATGTCTACAACCAAGGTGAAAAACACCCCCAAAGTTTAGATCTGCATCAGTGTCTGCCTTAAGAATAGCTCGGGTTACATCTTGCATGAGGGAAACCAAAAATAAAAAGCTACATCACAAATGTAAGTATAAACCAACAGCCACAAAGTGGGAAAGGTTTGTCTGGGGGAACTACTAAAACAGCTTTGTATCACATAAGCACACAATCTTAGAAGGGACTCTACAGGACTCACTGAAAGTCACTTGGAAGCTGATCAAATGAAGCAACAGAAACTGTCATTAGTCAGATTAAGCATCTGAGACAAACCCACACGGAATTCAAGGAAGTAGACGACTGGATAAAAGGGCTCATGGTTAAAGTGTGGACCCCAGTTTTCCCCCAAATCCACAGCAAATTTTCCTGCAAGAGCCACTTTTTCATTCATGGTTTAGCTATTAGGTGAGGTGTTCTTGGTGCTTGACTTATTTTTCTATACAATTATGGCATAATAGAGATTTTTCTCTCTAGGACCTCAAAGTAAAATGAATGAGAATTTTTATGACCCCAGAAAGAGAGATGAATAAAAAAAATATATATAAGAAAAAGGATTTGGAGTGCAAAGCAGTGGACCTGATGTGTGAGCAAAATAACTCATTCATAGAGTAAAAGCCATTTATATGCAAGGAGACCAGAGTTGTTAATATTTTTCCACTGTACACTTCTGAGAGCTTCAGTACAATCATGCAGCAGCCCCAGGGAAAACAGGGAAGAAGACAGAATCTGGAAGGAACCAATTACCTGGCATCCTTGTTCTTCAGTAGTAATGAAGATGATACATACATACTTAAAGAAAGTGCATATACAAAGTACAACAACAACAAAAAAGTGAATATGGTGGCTAACACATGTACTCCTAACTATTTGGGAGGCTGAGATGAGGAGGATCGCAGCTTGAGGCCAGCCCAGACAAACAGTTCACAAGACCCCATCACCAAAATAACCAGAGCAAAATGGACTGGAGGTGTGGCTTTGCGAAGTGTGAACACCTGAGTTCAGAATCCAGTTCCACCCCCCACAAAAAAACAAAGTGAATGTGATCAAAATGTATTGTGTGTGTGTGTAATTATCACATGAAACCCCACATTACATGATTAATACATGCTAATAAAAATGGGGGGAGGGGAAGAAAGTGAGCTTTCAATATAACTTGATCATAATAAGATTTTGCAGATAAGAAAACCAAGAACCAGCAAAACAAAGGGATCTGTCACCAAACACAATTGTGTTGCCACAGAGCAATGACATTCAAGGTCACTGAGGGACTCGGGAAGTTTCCAGTTTCTGTTTGCCTGTCTTGAAGTCGGTCCCTGTCTACACTCCTTCCTTGTCAAGCTGGCAAGGCCAGACACTTCATGCTTGTAATTTCAGGGAAAAAAATTCCTCCCCGCTCCCTTTTAAAATACAATTTGAACAAATTTGGTTTTCTGTTCTCTTTTGCAGAAAAGTAGAAATAAGCTGATCAGAAGGAAAAACAGGGAAGAAAACAGAAGTTGGGATGTAACCTGTACAAAAGATGGCAAAGAATTGATCATAATTGGCAACTTTCCAAAGCCTGTCAGTGTTTGCTTTTGTTTTTAGGTATCTTCTCATCTCTTGAGTACATAGTGATCTTGGCTATCTGTATAGTCAACAAATTAATTTACCTTCTTCCTTAATCCTCTTATCTTTCTTACTCTCCCTCACTTTCTTGACATCTTGTAAGATCTATAGAGTATGAGTCTAGTTGAGAACTTAACTGTCACAGCAGCCTCTTCCTCTACCTCCTCCTCCTCTTCTCCACCTTCTCTTTGCAGTGTTGGGAGCTTCATGCATGATGGGCAAGTGCTCTACCACTGAGCTATATCCCCTGCCAAACAGCTTGAGTTCTACTGCCTAGAATCCTGGCTTTCCACTACTTCTTAACTGGGTTATCCTTTGTATTGCTTAATTTTTACTTTGCTGTGACAAAATATTCAAGGCTGGGTACTTATAAAGAAAAGAGGCTTACTTAACTCACAGTTTTGGAGGCTGAAAGTCCAAGATCGAGTGGCCCCATGTGTTCTGCCTCTACTGGGGTCCCCTTTGGCTATATGACAGCATGGCAGAGAAGCAGGAAGTGGCCGTATGCAGAAGAGGCCAAGTGTATGAGGTGGCATCTCTTTATAACAACCCATTTTCGTAAGAAATCACTCACTGTGAGAGACTGGCATTAATACCTTCTAAGGATGGTGCCCCATGACCTAATTACTTTGAACTAGGCTTCACCTCTTAGACCCTGCCACCTGGTGACCAAGCTTCCAGCATATGAACCCTTAAAGGGACACAGTCAAACCATATGTAAACAATAGTGTCCTCACTAAGTTACTTGTTCTACAGTTTTTACATTTGCTAAATAAGAAAAACTAACAGAATTACCATACAGGGTTGTGGTGTGGATTATTTATAATGTCTTCTCCGAAATACTAGCCATTATTATCAGAAATCTTCACCTCATCTCATGGTCATTAGTATTTTCTTTTCTCATCTCAACAAAACCACAATCTCTAGTTACTGTATATCAATTCCCCGAAGTCTTTTTTTTTTTTTTTTTTTTTTGGCAGCACTGGAGTTTGAACTCAGGGTCTCATGCTCTGCCACGTGAGCCACTCCAACAGCCCTTTTTTGTGTTGGGTATTTTTGAGATAGGGTCTTAAAAACTATTTGCCTGGTCTGGCTTCAAAGTGTGATCCTCCTGATCTCTGCCTCCTGAGCAATTAGGATTACATAGGCTGAGCCACTCATGCCTGGCAATTCCCAGAAGTCTTCATGGAGTATGGCAAGTCTAACAGGTCCTTATAGGATGTTTCAGGGAAGTGGCCTTGTGAGTGATTCTACTTCTGGATGGATACCCAGAAGCTTGAGACTAAACTCAGGTACACCTGAGTCTACTCTGTATGGATTGGCCTTGATCTTACCCATGGACAAGCAGGGGATTGTACTTGTATAGAGCCTGGTGCAGACCTGACATGGGGCTGCTGGCTTCCCTAGGCCACACAAAGCCTGGTGCATCAGAAACACAGCACTGCCCTGGAGTTAGTCCTGCTGTTTCCATCACTGTCCAATCTATTCATTTTTATTTATTTGTGGTTTCTTTTGTTTACTTTGCCTTTTTTTTTTTTTTCCTTGAGACAGGGTTCCACTATGTAGCCCAGGCTGGCTTGGAATTTGTGATTCTCCTTGCCTGAGCCTCCCTAGAACTGGGATTATAAACATGTGCCATCACACCTGGCTTTCCCAAATTGTTTTTTAAAGAAAATTTACTAGTTCAATGTCCTTCCTATTTGCAGAAAAAGAAATGGGAGTCTGTGGGGTGGGGTGCGGGGCTTAAATGTTAAAACATTACACAAACACTGACAGTCCCTTGACTAGTTAAGACAAAGCCAAGACTAGAACAAAACTCTTGTCTACTAGAATCCAGTGCTCTTAGCCCCTACTCAATTAAAATTACTAAGTATGAGTACAAGGTTAGAATTTCACCTTAAAAGTCATTTATGGTGCAGAATTGAGATGAACACAGTTTTATGCAGTCCATTAGATTACAAGGTAAGCTTGTGCTTTGCCCCAATCGTGATCATTTTTGTGATTTTCATCTGATTGAAACTCAGCAGAATAGCATGAGAGCATTTTATAAATATGTGCATATACACTTATTTCAACCTGCATTTTTAAGCTACTTAGTTCATTTGCTTCCTTATCAGTTACAAAACAACAGTCACCACTATTTTTCTTATAATTCACAGCATATAGTGCTAGTGCAATTATGCATCTAGGACAAGATGGGCCAGCTTACCCATGCTCATCTACTGAGTGATTTAAATATCAGAAGACAACACATATTACCAAAACAAACATAAAAGCCTTTAAATCCAGCTTTAGAGCAGGCAAATATTCAAAACTGGGCTGTCCAAATTTGTATTCCACTTATCTCAATTTCTCATTATTATAAATTACTTTTATAGCCACTATATTTATGGAAGTTTCTAATTCCTGCTGCTAAATGAAGTTTCTGTTTAGTATACAGACTCATATTCCTTGTAAAAATTTTAAACTTGCAACCATAAGCACAACCCATTGTGTTAAAGAGGCCAAACGAAAAAGGTGTCCAGTAAACGTGAAGTAGCAGCTTATGTGAATTCTTTTTTTTTTCTTTTTTGAGACAGGGTTTCACTATGTAGCCCAGACTGGCCTCAAACTGGAGATCTCCTGCCTTCACCTCTTCAGTGCTGGGATCACAGCCATGAGCTACCACACCTAGCTTGCATTTTTCTTTAACTTTTTAAACAATTTTAGATTTACAGAAATGTGCTAAAAATAATGTATCTCTGTATACCCTTCACCCAAGTTCCCCTAATGTTAACACCTCACATAAACATGTTATTTGATATTGGTATCAAAACTAAAAAATTAACATTGATAAAATGCTATTAACTAAACTATAGACTTCATGAGGATTTCACCAGTTTCCCTGTTAATGTCCTTTCTCAGGCTTGGAATCTAACCCGCAATCTCTCGTTGCATAAAAAATTTAAGTTCACCAACCTGTAGGAATTAGGGTTTCATCCACAGGCAAAAAAGCATCAGCTTCTATGGTGACTTCATGGTCATATATATTTGGAGAGCCCTGGGAAGGGAAAAGTAGATTTACTACTCAGTCTTAATTTATGTATTTGCTTTACAATTTCTCTTGCTAAAATGTTCTCACAGGCACTGACGTCAGTTTTAGAAATCCTAATTGATGGATGATGGTGATAAATACAATCACTTAAGTGTAGAACCTCTAAATAGCCACTGATCAAATTGGAAGAAGCCTTCAAAGAGTACAAAATGTCCAGCATTTTCTTTTCTAAATGGAAGATGAAAGTGAAAATTAGGGAGATCACAGTGATTGGAAAGCCTTTGCACCTTGGCTTCTAAGTACAGGAGTTTTTTTTTTTTTCTTTCAGTACTGGGGTTTGAACTCAGGAGGGCCTACACCTTGAGCCACTCTACCAGCCCTTTTTGGTGATTGGTTTTTTTCGAGATAGGGTCTTGATAACTATTTGCCTGGGCTGGCTTCAAACTGAGATCCTCCTGATCCCTGCCTCCTGAGTAGCTAGGATTACAGGTATGCGTTACCAGCGCCCAGCAGTACAGGAATTTCTGCTACTCTCATACTAGACAAATAGGAGCAAGGGTCGCTGACCTGTAAACACACAGGTCCTGAGCCTCCAGGATCACTAGAGGGGGCACCAGTCACCCTATTCTGGTCTAGATCCCACCCAGGGGACTCGGGATCCCTATCACATGATAGAAGCTCAGAAGTCAGAACTGTGGTTCCTGCTTCTGAAAGCAGGGAGAGTCATAGGCTGATCCAGGAAGCCCAGGTCAGTGGTCAAGGCCTGGGCTCCGTCTAGTTCCGGCTCTCACTAAGTGGCCCCAGGAAAATCACATAGCCTCCTGGAATCTCCTATAGTAGACCCTTGGCATCCGTAGGAATGTGGTTCCAAGGAGACAGCCGATGAGGAAAACTGCGCATGCTTACGACGCACAGGTCAGCGCTGTCCGGCAGTTGCTTGATTTGCTTTTCCCATAATGCACTCCAACCTCCGCAAAAGACATGTCACCTTTCAACAAATCTCAAATTTTTCACTTTGTCACTTCAATTAAGCACATTCACTTTTACCTTGCTGTTCGGGCACCATTTGTCTTTTGGTTGGCAGATTTTCACAAAGTTAAGGGCAGAGAAACACTCCGCAGATCACAATGATTTAAACACAACGGACAGTAACACGGCACCGACTGAGCTTCTCCACATGCACTGAGCTGCAGAATGTGTGGTAAGAATTTAAAATTTTTGTTTTTGAAATTTCTTTTGATAAAAAAATATTTTTGACTGCACTTGGTCAAAACCGTGTATAATAAGTCTGTGAATAACGAAAGCTTCTTGTACATACTTTATAAGCAGACATTGTTCTGATTTGTACTGCTGTAGATTAGCTTTGCCTGTTCTAGAATGTCACATAAATAGATTCCCACGGTAGATACTCCTCTGGGCTTTGTTTCTCCCACACAACATGATGCTGTTCATCTGTTACTGGATCAGTGAATGGGTCCTTTTTACTGTTGAATAGTATTCCGCTGTGTGACTATATTACAATTTGCTTATCCATTCTCCTGTGAATGGACTTGAGGGTTGTTTCCAGTGTTTTAATGTTATGAATAAAGTTGCTTAGGAATTTCCTTTCTCTGCTTCTCCCTCCCCTCCCCCCTTCTTTCTTTCCCCCCTCCCCTCCCCCCTTCTTTCTTTCCTTCCTTCCTTCCCTCTTTCCCTCTTTCCTCCCTTCCTTCCTTCCCTCCTTCCTCCTTCCCTTCCTTTTTTTTTTTTTTTTTTAATTTAAGCACTAGGGCAGGAAGAAAGTGAATCAACATGAAAACCACACACCAAATAAATTGATGAGTCTGAGATGTAAGGGAAGGCCTGGGAGGAGAGGGAACCGAACAGGTATCAGGCACGCACTCTCCGAGTGAGCCATTGGGTCACCAAGCACTAACGTTCCTTGACTAAAAGAAGTATGCTTCATTTTAACCCTCGAAAATGTAGCAGGCTACTCTGGTGGAATATTACTGTTGGACTCATTTCCTGTCAAGGCTGTGAAAACTTGGCAAAAAATGCTGATTCACAAGCAGACCTTAAGGCCCATCTCTTGAGTTCAAAGTTTGTTTTGGTTAATTTTGCTCAGCCGCTACTAGTTGGTCACATGAAGTAGGTACACAGCCCATTATGACTGGCACAGGGCTTTAAAGCCCTGTTTGTGCATTGCCAGGACCACTGCCTTAATTCTGCTTTTACTGGCTCTGGCAGGAGGTAACAAACTACAGGTTACTACCCCAAAGCCATAGCAACTTCTTGGCCACCGCCTTCCCTTTTTCCTGGCAGAAGCCTGACTTGTTGATTTATTCTACATTAGGTTATATATTCAGGGAAGGGGACCCCTTCCCCTCCCCAAAGGGCAAATTTTGATTGTTCTAAACCAATTATGGTGGCCTAATCCGCTTGCTGACAATTGGATTAGAAAGGGAATAGGTCACACTTTTGGCCAATGAAATGTGAAAGTCTGCTGAGGGGAGGGGGGCTTTCAGAAAAGGTTTTACTTGTTCTTAGAAAAGAAATATTGAAGATATGAAAAAAGAAATGACCAAAACATTGTATGCACATATAAATAAAAAAAAATAAAAAAAATAAAGATATGGAAAAGGAGTAGATCCCTTTTTTGTTTGTTTTCATCTCTGGAGGCGACTCTAGGAGGAGGTGACTCCAGGAGCTGTAGTACTCATTCTGTATGAGGGACAAGCCTGAAGACAATAGCCCAAACACAGAGGAAGGAGAATGGAAAAATGGAAGAACCTGGGTCCTTGATGATGTACATGCCTAGTCATACCAGAACCACACCTCTTACTTCCCTTCTCAAATTCCCCCAGATACGGTCTCATAGCCCTTTAGGTAAAGTTTCAATAAAAAACACATTCTCTGAGTTCTGTGTTATGTACAGGAAGGCACATAAAAAAACAAAAAACAAAAAACACCTTCAACCTACATACCTTTTCCACTCTTTGAAAAAACACAGTTCTCTCTCCCTCCCCCCAGGCCTCAAAATTTAAACTTAGAGGTGATGAGCCAACATCTGAGCTCCAAAGTAGAACAAAAATAGTGTGTATTAAATTTGGAAAACAAAAAAGTAAAACATAAGATGAACTGACTATTTTAAATATCAGGTTTTGAGCTATTTCCCTGGGGATGCCAACACTTTGCAGAGTGGGCAAGGGATGTTCTGAAGATGCAGAGGCCCATGACCCAGGCCTGGTGACCACCCATCCCCACCTGAGTGCCACAGAAGTCTAGTGTCATCAACCCTGAAGTTAGTGACCATGGATTCAGCTGTATGTACTGTGACAGAGTAAGAAGGGAGTAGACACTGCTCACCCTTTTGGGTGGGTCTGTGATCTAGGAAATTATTCAAACTCTGGAAAGAGATTTAGAATTGGAGTCACTCCCAAGTCCTTACAGGATGGGAAGGTGGTAACCTAGACTTAGTAACTCTTACATTCCCATTTTGTCTCCTTCACTGGAGCACACTGATGATGCAAATACTTCACGCTAATTTCTCTTTCTGTTTCTGAATCTATTCCTAAGACCATTCCTCCCGTTATATAATGGGAATATTCTAAGTATAAAACAGTATGAAAACAGGAAAATCACCATAACTTACTACCTATACAAAACAGTAACAATTTTGTCTATTTCTGTTATTTCTTTTTAAACTTATTTTAATAAGTACAGCTTCTTGTTAGTGGGTGTTTTGGGGTTTTTTTTTTAGCTTTTTCTTCTTTTTTTTGGTGGTACAAGAGTTTGAACTCAGGGCCTTGTGCTTGCTAGGTCATTCTACCACTTGAATCATTCCATCAGCCCTTGAATTTTTTTTTTTTTTAGACAGAGTCTGGCTATGTAGCCTCCCAAGTGCTGAGATTATTAGAGGTGTTTGCCATAATGCCTGACTTGTTTTTAAGATCTCCCATCCAAGTACTAACCAGGCCTGACCCTGCTTAGCTTCCGAGATCAGAATGTTTTTAAGATCTCAAGAAGGATAGTGGATGTTCCTGAAAATAAGAGGAAGCAAGTGAAGAGCCATTTTTAGAGGCTTTTATTTTTATTTTTAGAGGAAGAACTTCGGAAATTACATAAGAACGAATGAACTCTGCTATTGAGAAAATTACAGAAAAGAAACCAGCTGATCAGCAGCAAACCCCTAAAATAGGGTAAAAAAAAAGCAAGATATTACTGGTTGGATGTGACCACCATCTTGTAGGAAGTCATGCCAAAGTGATTCAAGTAGAGAGGTCGGTGCTGAACTCTTCAGATAAGATAATATATATAACCTCCAGAGTTTGGCTTTCTATTTTCTCATGTTGATAATCTCCTCAGTCAGCTAAAATTTTCCCATGAGGAGGGAATGAGGTGGTTTAGAGGCGACCCCTTAAGGGGGGTTGTCATTCCTTTTAGGTAGACTTTCTTTTTTTTTTTTTTTTTGATGTTACTGAGGTTTGAACTCTGGGCCTTGCACTTGCTAGGCAGATGTTTGAACCCAGCCCCCAACCCCTTTAGGTGGACATTTTAAAGGTCCTCCTAACTAGGGTTTATCCCTGTTCTGGGTTTATTTCAATGTCTTTACAAACAACTTCAAAAAGTGCTTCTAATAGTGGCTGATAAATAATAGCTATTGTTATGAAATGGAGAACATGCCTATTAATCTGAAAACCCAGGTCTTCTAAATTCAAGTCCAGTACTCTTTCCCCTCTATGTGCTGGGCAGAACTGGGTACCAGAAGCCCAGGAAGGAGCTGGCGGGCTGTATGTACAGTGGGAACACACACATATTGATGGCATATCTAAAAAGGTTGGAGCAAGCATGTTTTCAAAGATTCAGGGGTAGAAAGTACATAAATGGAAGCAATTTGTGAGTGGGGGCAGTAGTACAATAAAGGAAGCCAGTGTAAGCACATGTTACAATCAGAGAAGAGGGAGTTCTTAAAACTGTCTGAAGCATATGGGAAATAGTTACTTCTCTTGGCAGTATGGTGTAGGCATTCCATCCTCCTGTATGGCTTCCATTTCTTGAACACCAACTATGAGCATATGCTCTACAAAGCCCTTTTCATCACCATGGGAATGACCCCATCACCAAACTCGGTTGGTTTCTCTACCCTCACCCCTCCATTCATCCATGAAGCACGTCAGTTACAGCAGGAGAGAAGAACAAAGTCCACTTACCTGGCCTGCCAGGTTGAAATAAGAATGGTTGGTCAGATTGACTGGTGTGGTCTGACTGGCCTGAGCTCTGTAGTTGATGACAAGCTCTCCACCATCCAGGGTGTATGTCACCCAGACTTTTAACTCCCCAGGGTAGCCTTCCTCACCATCTGGACTGACGCGGGAGAACTGGACGCCATTTGATAGCACCTGAGGGGTCCAGAGGACCTATAAAAAAAGTGTTTTCAAAGCTGCTTAGTTGCTGCAATCCAAGCTAAATGCCACATTTCAATATTTAAAGACAACTGATTCAAGAAAGGGAAATGGTTTTGCAATCATTGAGGCTCTTTTTTTTTCCAGTACTAGGGTTTGAACTCAGGTCTTTGCACTTGCTAGACAGGAGCTCTACTACCTGACCCACACCCATGGATCATTAAGGCTTCTGAATTATAGCTTAGATGTTACCTAATCTGAAACTGGTTTGTACACAAAAGTGGCTTTTGAGAAAAAAATTTTATCTACTCCCATTGCCTATCCTCTTTCCCCCTACTTAATATGTATATAGCTACAACATTTTCCTCTTCTTTGGTTTTTTTTATTTAACATACATTTTAATCTTGGAGCTCCATTTTTTTTAATTAACCAGAATATTTAACTTGTACTATCTTTTCCTGCTTTCTTTTTTTTTTTATTGTTTTATTATTCATATGTGCATACAAGGCTTGGGTCATTTCTCCCTCCTGCCCCCACCCCCTCCCTTACCACCCTCTCCATTCTGATGGAGCTCCATTCTGATGTGTCATATACCAAATATCTACTAATAGTAGATATTAGGTTATTTAATAGGTTAGTTTACTTAGTAGATTATAAAGTTATTTAAAAATAACTTTAATAAATCAGCTCCTGTTTCAAAGGGTACTATAGACAAATTATTTATTTATTTATCTATTTATTATTGGTGCTGGCTATCAAACCCAGGGTTTTGAACATGCTAGGCAAGTATCTACTACTGCGTTATACCCCAGCAAATATACCCTATACAAATACTTATATATACCCTACACAATATTTATAGAAAACACTCTATGGTCTCTGGGCAGAGTTTAACAAATAAGTTACTTGTTCCATTAGGAAGAGTTCCAGCCCACAAGGCAGGAGTACTGATTTGAGGCAGAGTTTGTCTCGAGCTCACTGTGTGGCTTTGGCATCCCATCTTTCCATAAAATAAAGGAATTAAAAATTATCTTAAAAGTTTTTTCTTTTTCTAGCAAATGTGATTCTAAGAATGGCTAGAAAAATATGAAGAGAAGTTTTCCAAAAGAGCTTTTGAAAATAGGAATAGTAATCTTGGGTTAACAGTGGCTCTTCTCAGGCTCTCCCTGGAGGCTCTAAGATCACACATCTTGAGATAGGTAAACCAACATTTATTGAGTGTGCAGTATGAGCCAAGACACCTGACTAGAAATTTCACAAGGACTACCTCATCTGTCTTACAGCAGATTTAAAGTAGGTGCCATTATCCTCACTGAATGGCCAGAGGGCTGAGGATCAGAAAGGATAAACTGTTGGTCACAATTCACCCAGAGAGTAAGTGACAATAGATGCAACCCAGAGCCTGTGCCTGGTCCCTTATTCTACAAATCAGCATAAGCTGGCCAGAGGATCTCAGTCCTGTTAAGGATATCAGTTTATTGAGCTCTCACTAATTGCTGACCTGGTGTTTTACATAAATCACCTTGTAGGTAAAGGATTCAGTTGAGCCAAATGACATGACCATCTTTGCAAAGTAGTTGAACACTGACAGTTTCATATGGCTCCAACTAATCCTATTATCCCCATTTTACAGATGAGCAAATTGAGTTCTGTGGCATTAACTTGTCTATGTCTACCTCTAACATCCCACAGAAATGGAGTAGAATCCTTTCAAATATTTCATTGTTTAAAATATTCTTGTTTAGAGCTGGGAGCCAGTGGCTCATGTCTGTAATCCTAGTTACTCAGGAGGCTGAGATCATATCATGGTTCAAGTCCAGCCTGGGCAAATAGTTTGTGAGATCTCCATCTCCAAAAGAACCAGAGCAAAATGGACTAGAGGTGTAGCTTAGAGCACCTGCTCACTAGGCAGGTTCTCTACCACTTGAGCCACTCTCTGTGAGCCTCATATATATATTCTTGTTTAAAATCAAACAGGTGATTAGTACTAGAGCTAGGATACAAACTGAGGTCTGGCTGTCTACACTATTCCACATCTTAGTTTTAGTTTCAGTGAAAGTTTTGTTCAAATCTTCATTTTTTTTCCTCTCCCTTCCTCCCTCCTTTCCTCCCTCTCTCTCCCCCACCCCTCTCTCCCTCTCTCTCTCCCCTCTCTCCCTCCCTCCATCCTTTTCTTCCTTCCTTCCTTCTTTCTTTGCTCAAGAATGCTAGACAAGCAGTCTACCACTGAGCCACACCCCCTAGCCTCAAATCTCCATTTTCAACAGAAGAGTTGAAGCCTAATTCTGTCATTTTAAATGAAGAACCTACTGGGTTCGTGAGGCCTGGCTCTGTCCACCCACTCCTGCATTTGCTAGGAAAGGGAGCCCAGTGGCATGAAGGCCTCTTCCTTCATTCACAGGGAAAGCAGCTGGCACTTGAAACAAATTCACTGAGCTTAGTAAAAAATCAATTTTCACTCTAATTATCTCCTAGAAATACTGAACCTTCAAGGCACTTAAGATTGGAAGCCTGTTACATGTGTAATTAAAAAAAAGAAAAATGAATTTCCCAAATGGAAAATTGTAGGAATTAAATATTTGAAATGAAATGTTTTGGGGAAGGATTTCCCTGACCCTGTAGTTTTCAAATTTCAGAAATTTTGCATCTTTAGGCTTTGTTGTGCTATGTCTAGTCCTGTCAGGTTACTCAACTTTCATCTTTAAAAATGATGTGTTGCTATAAATAGAAAAACACATACTTCCAAATAAATTATTCATTAATTGCTGAGATCCAATAAAACATAAAAGTAAATTCATCTGATGCTGCTCATGTTACTATATCAAAAACATTTAGGGGCTCTGTGCTCTGGAATGGCTCAAGGAGCAAAAAAAGCAAGGTCATTTTGAATTTGCCGGAGAATCCTAGTCACTCAGGAGGCAGAGATCAGGAGGATCACAGTTCGAAGTCAGCCAGGGCAAATAGTTCATGAGACCCTATCTCAAAGAAAACCCATCACAAAAAAAAGGGCTGGTGGAGTGTCTCAAGGCATAGTCCCTGCCAAGTGCTGGTGTGAGAATTCTCTTTCTGAGGAAAGGGAACCACAGGGAAGCCTGGTTCTACCCCACAGACAGGAAGCTGGTGGGAGAGGGGAAAACAGAGCAACCAACTTCCTTCAGTAGGAGAGGTGGTGGCCAGAGGCAGAAGAGAAGAAATTGTGGCCTTTAACAGCCATACGTGTTCCTTCTCTGGCTGTACTCTAGCAATAACCTGGATGGTACAGCTTACAGGAAAGTTCTCTCTGAAGTTTTCTCCCTCACAGCCTGAAATGAAACTAATTGGAGGGAGAATAACTGGAGTTCACCTGATGACTCCCCAGGGGCTAGGAAGCAGGGGCCAGGCACTCTGATCTCAGGGAAGCTGTTTAACCCATTTGCTTTCTTGACCTTGTTTTCCATGGATTAACTTAGGTAATGGGAGTTCTTTATTTAGAAAGGGGGAACTGGGGTAATCTTTTCTTTTGTAGTACTGGAGTTTGAACTTGGGGCCTTGTGCTTGCTAGGCAGGTGCCATGACCCTGGTCCCTGAGGTAATGTTGAGGGCATAAAGCACCCAGGGTAGCCAGGCCTCCCCCCTTCATGGGGGGGGAGCTAGCAACAGGTATGGTGAGGTGTGTTGGACCAGAGGTATCCCTGGTGGCCTTGGGGGACACCAGCACTTACAGTGTAGGAATGGGCTTGGCAGTCACCAAGCAAGCCTGGCTATTCCATCTCAGAAGTGTGTGGCTTTTTAGAGTGTTGGATTTCTCATTTGGTGATAATACAGGGCTCTAGCAAGGGCTAGAGATATGTATGTGAATGCCTGTGCAGTAAGTGGTTGGAATTATCACCATTCCACATTTCCTCGGCCTGATTCCCTGATCCCAACACTGTGAGAAGATCATTCCTCATCTTTCCTAAGTCAGGGGCTGTCATCCTTTCACTCAGGGCTCCCCTATCTGAGCTAGAAAAGGACGGAACCTAGACATAGCCACCAAGTCTGCTGTCCCGAAGCCTGAGAGAAGCTTCTTTCTTGGGTCACCCTACCATGCAAATGTTCCAGGGTCATGCCTGATCATGCCTGGCAAACTGAAGGCATGCTTGAGGGTACTTTGTGAAGTGTGCCAAGAGGGGACTCTGTCACATACCCTGACTCACCTTATCAAACCCTCTGAACCCCCCATGCAGACTGTTGGGCGCTCTGTTAACAGGCAGGTGATACTCCTTCCCATCCAACGTGAAGGTTCCTTTGGCGATTCGATTGGCCACCCTCCCAACCACTGCTCCAAAGTAGGGCTGCTTTTGGAGGTACCCTGAAAGGACATGGAATAACAGCATTATTTTAAAACTTCAAACCAAAGGGGAGGCTCACACTGCTGCTACCACTTCTGAAGGAAGCTGCAAGGACCACAAGTTGTGCGTATCAGAGTCCTCATAAAAAAACAAGACTTCTTACAGAGGACGTTTCCCCAAATTAACTCATGTTACTATAAAAATTTTTAAAGAATTCGAGAAGAAATTTAAATCTCTTTTAATCTCATCAAGAACCCCTGCCAATATTTATATCTTTCCATCCTTCCATGCATACATATGCTTCTTTTTTTTTTTTACATATGCTTTTTTTTTAAGTAGTATTGGGATTTGAACTCAGGGCCTCACACTTCCTAGGCAGGTGCTCTGCCACTTGAGTCATGCCCCAATCTCCTTTCTTTTCTTTTTTCAGACAGGATCTCTCTCTTGCAGCCTAGGCTAGCCTGGAACTCAATCATCCTTCTCCAGGATGTGCTGGAATTACAGGAGTATACCACCATACCTAGCTCCAATAAATTTTCTTAACTAAAAATTATATTTTTGTATAGACTTGATAGAAAACTATCAAAATCCTAAACTAGTATATAAAAATATAGGACATAAAAATACTCTTGAGAGAGAGCTGGGTAATACGCAAGGATACAGAGTAGGCTTGCTAGAGGAAATACTGGATGCCCAGTTAAATTTGAATTTCAGATAACAATGAATAATTTTTTAATATAAGTATGTTCATAGTATTACTATACATGGGACAGTTTAAGTTATTTACCTGAAATTTAAACTAGGCCATCTTGTATTCTTGTTTGCTTCATCTGGGAATCCTAATGCATAAAAGCCTTCCTTGCCTCTCAGCTCCCTGCCCTCCCGATGGTAACCACTGTTAACAATTTGATATATACAGTTAATTTTTCCTTTGAATTAACTACATATAAGAATATATATAAATAAAGCCAGGTGTGGTGGTACATGCCTATAATCCAGCACTAGGGAGGTTACGGCAAAAGGATGACAAATTCAAGGCCAGCCTGGGCTACAAAGCGAGACCCTATCTCAAAAAATCCAAAATTATATATATACATATACATATGTACACACACACAAATAGACACACATATTTTACATATATGTTTTGCAACTTTTCATTTATTGAAAGTCTTAAGATTTCTCCATATCACTGTATATCCATTTTCCATATTCCTTTTGATGGGTACAGTGTACACTGATGAGCATAAAATGTTGGGCTCTTTTTTTTGGGGGGTGCTATGAAAAGCAATGTAGCATCATTGCAGTTACAACTTTTTGCGCGGACGTACTCTAGGATTTCCTTCTCTTCTTGGTTTACAGTGGAAGAGATCATGGTTGCATATTGTTTTTGTATTAGCACCACTCTACCCTTCCCTCAGATGTGCTCAGAATTCCATTCCTTTTTCTAGAGGTGCTCTGTATCCACCACCTCTACTTCTGACCAGCAGAGAATGCAACTCAAGCCCCTCAGAACTAGAGGGGCTCTCAGGATACAGACCATGAACCAGTTAGGCCAGTTAAGGGTCACAGGTTCCCATTACTCAACTGGTTGGGCACAAGTTAAACATTAACCATTCTCTTCCAGGTTCAGCGTTCTGGTTCCTTCCTTGCTTCCTTGCCTCAGAGTCCTGCCAATGAGCTATTTCATCAGCTGACAATTACGGAGCACTTTCTTTTCTATGTTCCGGCCACTTTCTAAGGGCTCTGCATTTTACTCATTTCCTTCTCAGACCATTCCTCTGAGGTAGATACTATTATTACCCCAACTTTACAGATGTGGAAACTGAAAACAGAAAAGTTAAGTAATTTGCTCCTGAAACACTAGTTGGTGGTAGAACCAAGACCTGATTCTAGATAATCTGGCTTCTAAGTCTATACTTTTTTTCTTTTCGAGACAGTCTCACCATGTACCACAGGTTGGTCTGGAACTTTCTGTGTAGCCCAATCTATCCCCAAACATGCAATCCTCCTGCCTCAGGCTTCCAAGTGCTAGGATTAAAGGCATGAACCACCATGCCTGGCTCTAAGTCTATGCTCTAAGCATCTCATTACCTACCAGTTGTCCATCAGTATCCCTGGTGGCTTCATTTCAGGAAACACCCCTTTCATCCCATATCAATCTGCAGATGTTCAAATTCTTCATTTGCATATAGTCTTTACATATCTTTCTACAGACTTTAAATCATCTGTAGACTTAATACACATAATACCTAATACAATGTGGTACTATGCAAAGAGTCATTAAACTGTATTGTTTAGGGAATGACAAGAGAAGTCAGATGCAATTTTTTTCCTCAAATATTTTCAATCTGTGGTTGGTTGAATCCATAGCTGTGGAATCCACAGATACAGATGGCTGGCTGTATATGGAAAGCATGAGATGTCTGGTTGACTGACCTTACCACCATCCTTAGGCACAGGCTGGCTGATGTCTGCCCACTCCCACCTCCCTCCACACCCTCCTCCCTTTTTCAGTTTTTGGCTTTACAACCCCTTACACTGGTTAACCAAAAGGAGTCCCAAAGGGCCTAAGAACCTGTTCTTAGTTTTGCCTCTTCTGCTTTTCAGACAGAAAAGGGGGTGATCCCTTTACTGCTCATCATAAAGGGTCATGGATGACACCCTTATAACAAAAGACAAATTAATAAGAGACAAGCACAACAAACTTATTTAATTTTTTTATGTGACACAGGGGGCCTATTCATTTTTGTGCCTAGGTTCATGAAGGATAGACATGTTAGCATAGGCAGCTAGGTAGACAGGAGCAGGACCAAGGAAATGCTCCAGACTACCAGATTCTATTCTAAAACCCCAGCTGGACTACACCCTGAGCCAATAATTAAGATAATGGCCCTACAGTCTTATGGAGCCCACTTCCCATATTGTTTAAACAAGGAAGACAAAGAGGATCAAATGTGCAGGCAGACATCTTTTCATACCTGGGTAGCCTCTGCCAGTGACCAAACCATTTGAGAAGGGACCCAATGGTAGGGCCCTTATCTCATACCACCTACTGATCCAACTCCATTTGATAAAACCCCAAGCTCCACAGCTCATGCTGTCTTTACCTAAACTGCCCACCTCACCCCTTTAGGTATAATTCTGCTTTAATAATAAATTACTCTACTGTCTTCCTACTCTCTGAGTTTCTTTTGCTCTACCTGGGGCAGTGTTCTAATCTTAGATGTTGTATCCAAGAATCGAAGAATATCTGGAATACCCCAAAATTGCTACCAGATAGCTATGTAGAAATATAATTGGATCAAATGGATACGATCTGATAATAGTGACAGACTAAAGGGGAAACCCGGCAAGATCAGTCCAGACTCTTCTTGGCTTCTCTGGGAAGCATTCCTTACAGGTATGGGGCAAGATCCTCTCTGAAATGGAGTTTTAGGACCTACAACAAATCAAGGAAGGTCAGAGAATTTCTTTATGGCAACTATTACATGGAAAGGTAGGGAAAAGTCACAATAAATATTCTTGTGTTTTGGCTGGCTTGGGGAAAAAGGGATTCTGGTTTCTATGACCTTCTCTGTGGGAGAAGAAGTGTAGTTTCTATGGTTTGCTTAGGGGAGGATGAGAGGGAGTCACTGGAAGGCAGGAGAAACTCAGAAACTTTTTTTCTGGGGCCACTTCTGCAGACTTCACCATGGGGCATCATTTTCTGAGTCCCAAGAAAGCTCAAGAGCATAAAGAAATGATGGATTTTTATATCAAAACTGACCATATCTATTTTTTTAGTCCTACCTTGATTTATTCAATAAGATACTCAGAGCCCCCACTCTGTGCCGGGGGAGTCAAGCATTAGAGACAGTCACACAAGAGATAGCAAGGCTTCTGCCACACAGACTTTCAAGAATTCCCTTGGAAGCAACCACTCCCTGACAACAGTTGGTCAGCCCTAGAGACAGAAAGCACTTGCCAGTTTCTTGTTTTGGATGAATAGTATCTGCGGATTAAACAATAAGGACAGAGAAACCATTATTCCTAAATGTCTCTAAAAATCCTACACAGAACAAATAGGTTTACTATTTTCAAATGTTACTCCACTTTCACATCAAATCAGATTTATGAAAAGTCACAATCCCAAATCCTATAAGTAAGGCATGACTAAAGTTATTTTGAATTGCAGAAAATACTGTTTTCCATGAAAAGTTCAAAGTTCCTAGGTCAATCCATGAATGCTAATTCAAACAAATAATCACTGAGGTGAGAGAAAGAGTTGAGGAAAAGTTTACCCTTGCCCAGTTTCTGGGCAAGAAACTGGCTAGAATAAATTAATAAATGCTTAATCCTGGGACATGGACTTTCCACTCCTCTGACATCCTAAGGTCCTCAACTATGACGCCCAACTCAGACAGCTTGAAACTTTGTCAGAGTACCTAAAAGTCTGAAATAAATCTACTCTACTCCCTCAAAACCTTTACCCCTTGAATAACTGTCCTTTGGCTATATTAGGTAAACAACTAAATTTTAATTGACAATTACTTCAATTACTCAAGATATTTTATATATTTTTATATTGGCTGCTGGCTGCCTATCATGAGAGCTAGGTTAGAAACATAGGTGGACATGCTTGTGTTTTTCTACAATGTCAGAATTTATTGACTAACAATAAATTTACAAGCTACATCCATATCCATTTCATTAGCATTAATTTGACAAGTACTACTGATTTTGCTTGATAGCCATAAACCAATTGGAAACCAGGTTCTTTTACTCCAAATCTTAATTACTAATATTAACTCTCAGATCACATATTATACTTCAAAAAAATAAAGAGGTTACAGGATTGCTCATCAAGGGTTAAAGTGGCTGCAAGACTCAGAGGCCTTTCTGAAGGCAAGAACAGAGAGCTGACATAGATGAAAAGAGTCACTGTAGGTGGTCAGATTATTAATATAACGAATTCTGTCACAGAGCTGTTGAGGCATGGTGATGTCAAAATGAAGAGTTAGTTCAACGTCAAGAGCTGGTTCAAGGCTCAAAGCTGCTTCCAAGCTTACTGGGTCCAGATAGATGGACAATTTGAGTGGTTCATGTTAAGCAGAAGGATCTAAGCTGAGCAGAATCCAGGAGGACAGTCAGGAGTTTGTCCCCTCTTGTCTGATGACAGGTTGGTGTGTACTGCCAAGTACCACAGTGTCAGGTATCCCTCCTTTTATATGATCCAGTAAGGGGGCTGCATTATTTCTGAGTGTAGTGTATCCAGTAAGTTCATGGGCCTATTTTTTCTGATATGGTTTGATATGCCCACATGTCTATGTGTTCTTGATTTAATTTGATAAGTTTACAGGTGGCAATCTTTTATTTGCATTAATAAGTTATTTATCAGTCTGCCCCATGGTTTGTGCTGGACAGATGATGGTCATTTACTTGCACAAGCAAGATGCAGAGTCATTCTGCCTCAGCATTTGCACTCAAGATGGAGAAAACTGCTCTCATATAAAATGGAGGCACTCAGGGTAAGGTACAGCCTTACAATATGGAGGAACACAGAGAATGGCACAGCCTGATCCTCACTCTGCCCTAGATGAACCTCCATACCATTTTATGCAGGGTAAACAAAGCGAAATAAAAAACTCTAGTAGAGTGGGGAAGAATTTGAGGGTAAAGGAAGGAAAGGGGATGAGAATGGCTAACTGCTCTAGTCAGAGACATATTACCTATAGTCAGATACAGTCAGATACATATTGAGTCCATAGTGAATTTAATATTCACAATATTTGTTTCAGGGAAGGAACAAGTCTGGAGAGGTTAAAGAACCTGCCCACTGTTAGATGCAGCTTTAAGGGAGAAAGCAGAGATTTTTTTTTTTTTTTTTTTTGACACAGGTTTCAACCATGTAACAGGCTGGCCTCAAACTTGAGATCCTCCTGCTTCAGCCTCTCAAGTGCTGGGATTACAAGTGTGTTCCCCACCCCCCCTGTCCAGTGCAGGGCAGAAATTTAAACCAAGAATTCTCAATGTTCCCACAAGGGCGCTCTTGGGCATTTACTACACTAAGCTCTAGCTTCTAACCTAATTCCTTTTGTCTCCACCCCCTTTCTGAACTCAGGTTTCCTAAAAGCACTATTAATTTATTTGTTGTGGGACAGGGCCTAACCCAGGGCCTCACACTTGATTTAACAAGAGCTCTACCATTGAGCAACATCCCCAGCTCCAAAAGCATGAAGTTTAGTGACTTATTCTTTCATAATGGATCTCATGGCAGTCATATCTGGGTGTTTGGTGGTAACTGGGGAAAAAATGAAAAGGAAGGAGTCTCACTAATTGTATGGGTAGACTGTTTATACCTGTGGTTTATAAGCAAATATTCTCATCACAGACTTTGAAAGAAGTCATAATGAGTGTAGGTGGGTCACACAGATGAAAAACACTTTTGAAGACAAGAAGTGGTAGGAAAAACCCACAGGAGGTATTATTGGGTTTTTCCAGGCTATAACTACAAGATCCTATGATTTCCTTCTTTATAGTTCTAGAGAAGAAAGATATCATTTTCCCAGGGAGAAATGGAACCATTCTGACCTCTGGTAATGGCAGTTATCCAAGCAGTATATATAATCTCTCTGGGAAACTGGAGGTTGTTCCCATTCAACCTGACAGTTTCAAAAGGGCTTAGTCCTTCCTTATGACTCCAAACACTTCTGAGGCAAGGTAATATCAAGATAATGTCTTCTTCTGTCAAGTCTTGTTACTTCAAATTATTTACCTCGTTTGCTCAGCTATCTTACATAATCAGACATTGAAACAGAATGTACAGTGAAAATGAAGTCTCCTTCCTACACCCAGGGTTTCCTTAAGGAAGACCACATACTGTCAGCAGTTTCTTAACATGAGTTTTAATATGCTGGTAGCAGAGAGCTATTGCATAATTTTCTGATTGAGACAATTTGTTTCCTGTTATGACATGTGAAATCTTATTGCTGGCAACACTAAAGTATATGAAAACCCAAAAGAACAGCCTTTAAAATTTTTTATTTTTATTTTATTTCTTTTGAGGGATCTAGGGTTAACCTGCAATAACCTTGAATATAGCTGAGCATATTAGACAGTATTGTGTAATATTCTGAAGGTGTTTTCCTCTCAACTTCTCTTTTAAAAATAGCTTTCTTTCCTTTTAGGATAACTTAATTAGCTGGGTGCTGATGGCTCATGCCTGTAATACTAGGTACTCAGGATGCAGAGATCAGGAGGATCAAGGTTCGAGGCCAACCCTGACAAATAGGTTGGAAAGACCCTATCTCAAAAATACACAATGCAAGAGAGCTAGTGGAGTGTCTCAAGGGGTAGAGTGCCTACCTACCACGCATAAGCCCTGAGCTCAAACCCCAGTACCTTCAAAAATAATAATAATAGAATAACTTAATTATCTAAATTATAGCATTATAGTGTAGGAACAAAAATGTCCAACTTGATCCAGCACCAAGAAGAATATATGAAATGCTTTGATTCAACCTGGCACTTTGTGAAGCTATGATGCATCCTGATAAGAAAATGCTATTGAACATTCTTAAAATATGTTGGTACCAGATAGATCACTATAATTGAAAAGGAGCTAATGTCTTTTCTCCTTTATATGAATATTTGGGGTTAATACTTTCTTCCACTGAGACTTCTACCAAGGTCCCAGACTCACGGATGATTGTGTGAATGGCCTCGCACCTCATACAATCCATAAGTGTCCATAAATGACACTTCCATGCCTGTTTGAGAAACTGGTGTTTCATGGGTGCCATGTCATGTTTGTTCACATTTTATATGGATTCCAAAGACCCTGGTGCTTTTAGATCCACATGCCTCTTATCTCAGAACAGAAAATGACAAGAAGAGAGGGAAGGGTGTATGTGTGTCTGTAGGTGTTGGTGAGTACTCCTCTGAATGGTGATAAGGCAGAGATGGAAATCAGGTGATAAGAGCAGGTGCCCACAGCTTATCATCCCAAGTCTCCTACTGGCTCTGGAATTCTAGGCCATATCCAATTCTCCTGTGACTCCAGGGAAGCAGGGATTTTGCACCAGTGGAGTAATCTCGTGGTGATTCTATTTTCAGCCAAGAAAATGGTTATGCCATCAGCAGAGACGAGTGATTCAGCAAAGTGATTCTAGAAAATTTTCTTCCTTCACTTGCCTTTTTAACTCTGAAAGCTGTCTGGAGGAAGAGAGGAAGAGAGGAAGGGGAGGTGACTTTCCCATGTCCCCACATCTTCCTACCACACAGCCTCTTGTAACGGCCTCCTCACCCTCTCCTCCAACTCAAGCAGTGGGATGAGGAATAGGCCCCTCACCAATATTCTCATAACAAAATTTGCTAAGGAGCCTGAGAACCAGTTTTTTTCCTAAGAGGGAAAACCAAAACGCTCAAGAGTTTTCCTGTTGACCCCAAACCATGAGCCAAATTAAAGATCTAAAGAACAAAAAGGAAAACCTCAAACCTCCTCTCCCACAATTTGCCCACACTCCCCCCGCACCACCAGCATAGGGTATTAATTCTCAGTTTTCCTTTGCCGATTGTATTTCAGGCCACATTTTCTGTATACTTACGCCATAATGCCAAGAGATAGCATAAACTGCAGTTGTAATTACTTATTTATTCAATTATTGGGTTAAAAATTGTCTCCCCAGTTAAACTGCAAGTTCCTTGAAGGTGGACCTCATGTTGAATGAGTCCAGTGAATGAACAGAAAGCATGAATTAATCCATGATCCTAACTGCCCATACATCCCAATGGGATAAAAGTCCATCTGGTTGGAAGACTGGAGTTGGCATCCTTTGGATTTCATTCAGGACATATTTATTGAGCAATGAGGGGTAGTGGCTGGGCATTGCACCCCCATTGACCAGAGCAGCCAAGCTCTCTGTGCTGAGCTTACACACAGCTTACATTATAGAGCATTTCTGAGACAACCAAGCCTCAAAGAGAATCTGATAAAAGAAAAAGGAAGTAGAAGATGCACGTCTTTGATTTTCCTTCCCCAGAACGAGCACGAGGCAAGGACTAGGAGCCACACCCCCTGGTGCCTGCAGTTCAAAGATCGCCCAGGGTTGCCTGAGTTTTGCTTACTCTCAATTGCGTTTTGAGTTTACTGAAGCAAAGCCTGAACCGGTAACTAGACGCCAAATCCTACAACTATTTGCATTCAAACTTTTCCCCCGCCCTCCGAATCCACGCATTCCCTGGCTGGACGGACCCAAGCTCGGGACTTTGCCCAGGTCCCTGGCCCTGCAGAGGTCCGCGCGGTGCGGGCGGGGACCCGGCTGCAACCCACCTTCCAACTCGGCGAAGCCCAGCACCACGTCTGAGGCTCTCCCCTGCCTGTCTTTGACCTCCAGGGCTGTGATGGTGCAGCCCCACGAGATGATATCCACTCTTAGCAGGTCTGACTGCAGCTGGAACTTCTCCACTGTCCCTCCCCCCGAGGGCAGCTCTCCAAACACGGTTCTGGTCACCGAAACCATGGGGAACGTTTGAGGCGTGCAGCTGCAGGATCTTTAAATTCCAGCGGCCAAGCTAGGAGCGCCACGAGTTCCCTGGAGGAGGGGCGGGGCTCGACTCAGTGTCCTCCCCTTCCTGGCCTGGCTTTAGGGAGTGACCACTCGGCAAAAAACGTCCTCCGGATCCTTTCAAAATCTTTCCTTTGACCGAGGTGACAAGAACGCAAACTTTCCAGCCAAGCTTGCAGTTCTTTTCCCGGCTGCAGTGCATGCTGGGAATGGTAGTCTTTGGGAAGCAAAATTGCATTTTGGGGCCTGTAGTTTCTATAAACCCAAATTTTGCTTTTACTGTGTTCCACCTTCTTCCTCACACCTCAACATGCAATGCGCTAGTCATTAGGATTGGTGGCTGACTGTCTGACAAAGTGTAGGAAAATGCACTTTGTGTGCAGAATTAGAGACAGCGAGACCAATCTTGGGGGAGAATCCAGGTTAACTGATCCAGGGAGTAAGAAGTACAGTGATATTTAGAGAAAGGGTAAATCATTGCAGGTTTCTCTGCATGCTGATTGAAGATCCCATTGAAGATTGCTTTTTGCCCCAAAGGATGAAGCCCGGGACATGGTCCTCCTGGAACACTGCCCAGAAGGCTTCTCTTGACGGCCAGCCTGGGGTCGCAGTCTGGATTAGAAGTACAGGTGATAAGCCCTCCTTATAGGGAGTCATCAAAGAGAGCCTTAGACTTTTTTTTTCCTTGGGGAGGGACCTTGGGTATCTACCTGCCTTTTGCTCCTATAGTCCAAAGTTTCTTTAAGAAGGAATGAAAGGAATATATATTTATTACGATCCTTACAAATGCCAGCTACTGTTCCTTTGCCCTCTTCTTTACCAGTAGGAAGATGTCCTTAAATATGTACAGTTGGGAAAGTAAAAACGCTGACGTCATCAAATAATTGTCTTGCCTCAGAATTGTCTGAGATTTTGAAACTGCATTATCCCTTGGCCCATTTGTGCAATTTCTGACTCTGGGAGCCTTCGGTGATATTGAAGAATCTGCGTTTTTTTCACACTCCTCAGGCTATTCCAATGCAGATTACGGGGCCAGACTTAAAGAAATACTGCTGTGAAGTTGTATGATAAAGTCAGAGTTTTCCTAATAATTTTATCAAGGACTGAGATAAAGCTACTAAGGCCCTTAAGATAAGGGGCTTATCTCTACTGCAAGATAAAATGCAGACATTTCTCTATTTCTTTGCTAGCAACTTGAGAAGGGTAGTGGGTCTAGGAAGGAAGACAATGCTAGGAGCCTACAGACGTTTTACTCAGTCCATGTGCACACTTGGTGTTTGCTTAGTCCTGCTTTTGGCTTGGTTCCTGTGTACTTCAGATGGAATCCAACTAGATTGTAGTGAGTGCGGAAATGCATCTGTGATTAGGAAATGAGACTTGAGATCATGTTCCTGTAATAAGATGCTAATAAAACATAATGACTGTCTCTCAGCCATTTCTGGCTGTGAAGTTGGAAGGAGTACTTAGTATTCCTGCCACCATACTTCAACTCTCCATCACGAAACAGAGGAATTCTGATAGCAAAGGAAAAAAAGAGCTTAAACAGCCTTCAGTGAAACACAACATATAATAACAAAAAAACCCAAACAAGACAAATTATAGACTGCATCACACTCATACAATAACTGAAAGGCACTTTTGCGTGCTGCTTCATCAGAAATTCTCATAAACTCTGCAAGTCTCATCAGCCCACTTACCATTTGTGCCTGACTCATCCACGAGCCCTTTCAGCAGTGCTGTGCTAGCAGGCACGTCTTAGAATGTCTTCTGTGAGGAGGAAGGCCGCATTTTTTTCTCAGCCTCCAGTTCCCAATGTTCTGCCAAACTCATGCTGTCACAGAAAGAAATAAGTGTGTTTGACTGGCTAGCACCAAGTGTCACTAGAGGTCTTATTGTTTGACTTGGTAGAAACTGAGGCATAGCATGATAGCTCCTTAAGATGTAAGGGGTACCCTTTACTTCATTTTCCTTTTACTTTGAAGTGGTCAGTATATTGTCCCAAGCAGGACTATGTTGTGCTTAAGTCAACTGTCAGGCACAAACCTAGGTTTTCCTTTTTCAAATATCTTATTTCTTTTTTTTTGCAGATGTCTTGAAACTTTCATAAATATTTAGTTTGTAGAAAATGAAACTTTATTGGAATGTCCCTTGTATTCAATTACAATGTAGAATTAAAACCTCAGCCTATATAACAGCTTTTAAGACATCAAAACCACTTACTAAATTCTGTACTATCTTTGGTTATCTTCCTTAATTCCAGTCCTGAAAATATAAATGAATGCAGGACATTAATATCAGATATATCTGGTCTGAAATTATAGTATTAAGTATATTAAAAATGTTTTGCATATATATGAACTCTTATCTATTAATATAATTTTGAATTGATAACACAATTTAAAAAATTAAGCATTTAGGAAAGGTATTAATGATCAAATATTTCATTTTCTTAATCTCACAGTGATATTTGTGTACACAAATGTACACACACATATAAGCCTAAGTCCAGGGGAACATTCTCCATCAGTGGGGAGGTCAGAAGCAAGGTAGTAGTCTAGAAAATGAAAGTGTCAAATCCTAGGAGGTATTTAATTTTACTTTGGGGATAGGGGCTGAGGGTGAGGTTATGAAGTAAAGTGAATAGGGATTGTGGCCTTTTTTGTAAAGGTTGATGTCAGGGTAGACAGATGAAGAACATGGCTTGCTTCTTCTCAGTTGGAGGTTGTTCCTGGCACAGAGTAGGGAGCCAGGCCTGAGGAGATCTGAGCCTGTGGGCCCTGCCCCCATCTTCCCATGCCACACAGAACAGCAGGGTGTGCTGTTCTTGAGACCTCTGACCCCCTGGATTCATAAAGATGACCCTGAAGCCTTAAACTACTGACGGGCTGCTACGCAGAGGAAACTCTCTGAGATACACGAACAAACCAACTAACACTTGTCTAGAAAGACACCGGAATAGATTTCCTCCTACCACTCACCTGTTCCCTTTTTCCTACCTGGGAATTCCAGTAGTGTTTATTGCTAGTTCTGCTCCTGGCACTCAGTTCTCACTGCCTGAGATCACTCCTTATCTTTTCGTGAGAACGTTTTTTTGTTGTTATTTACCAACACTTTCTCTCTTAGACACAATATTTTGACTTACATATTTATTTTTGTCACCCAAACTCATTAGGCTTGGTTTCAGATTATAACTACCTGTGTCTGGAAGTCAGGAGTACCCCTGAAGAACCCCATCCAAGTTCACAAGAGGCAGAATTCTTCAAAATTCAGTTCGTCTTAATTTCATTAACAATTTTGGAGCATCTGCTGGGGAAGGTGTTAAGGAGGGCACCTGAGAAGTTATTTAGGAAGATGGACTAAATTCGGCTGTCTAGCATCCCATTCATTTGCCAGATATTCAAGAGTATATGTCAGGCACTACACTAAATGCTGGTTATATATTAATATGTAAAACATGATATTTACCTTTAAGGGGCTTACAGTTTAACATCATGTAATCATCTCTATCCTCTATAAAAACTTTGGTAAAAGTCTTCAAAATTCATTATCAGCCAATGCTGGGTGAAATACAGTGCTAGGACTGGCTCCAAGGTATATGTAATTTCAGGATTGCTCAAGGATGACCTGGCGTAATTGGGATTATTTTAGAATTCCCTAGAACCATGCATGGTGACTGTCACTTATTAGATACCCAATAAACAATTACTGAGTGAATGCCCAATGCATTCATTTTTGTTTTTGTTTGGTTCTGGGATTTGAACCCAGGGCCTCATTCTTTCTAAGCAAATGCACTACTAAATGAGCCACACCCCCAGCCCTTTTGTTTGTATTTTGTTTTTGACCCAGGGTTTCATTAACTTTGCCTGGATGGCCTTGAACTCACGATCCTCTTGCCTCTTCCTCCCAAGTAGCTGGGATTACAGATGGATGCTGCCACACCCTGCTGACCTGGAGGAATGCATTTGTATGTGCAAGTGATGTTGTGATGATTTGGCTCTGGTATCCAGAGACTGGGGTTCAAGATGTACCCATGGCTCACACCTGTAATCCTAGACACTTAGGAGAGTCAGGAGATCTAGGGTCAAAGCCAGCCTGGGGCAAATAGCTTAAGAGATCCTATCTTGGAAAAAAACAACACAAAACAAAGGACTGGTAGAGTGGCTCACAGCAGAGGTCTTGAGTTCAAACGCACACACAACCAAATGTACCAGCACTTACTGGCTGGGTAATTTTTTCAGTCACTCTCAACCTCAGTTCAATCATCTACAAAATAGCAACAATATTACATGATTGGTCCATTCAATTTTTATTAACTGAATGCTAGCAAAGTGCTAAAATTTAGCAGGCACCATACTAACAATTTATTTGTCATGGGATACCATAAGCACTCCTAACTTAGACAATATTATCTGATACAGAAACTGAGGCTTACAGAGGCTAAGTCTCTTGTTCAAGGTCACATGTTTAGTAAGTCAGGAAACCAAGATTTGTTCCTAGGCAGCCTGACTACAGAGATAGGAGCATTTAACCACTTCCTTATCTGTTGCCTGGTATTGTGATCACTTGAGAATGTTGATTCCAAAGACTTTGTATGTTCTAGCACATTACAGTAAAATAAAAAGATCATCTTCTAATTTTAAGGCAAATTTAAGTTTTAAAAATTGATTTCTTGAATGAGGCCACTTTGGGCTAACCTACAATAAGCTCATTCACTTACTGTATGTAGATAAAGGACCCAAGGAGCTGGGTGATAGTGGCTCACACCTGTAATCCTAGCTACTTGGGAGGGGAGGGGGGCTGAGATCAGGAGGATGGAGGTTTGAGGCCAGGCAGGGCAAATAGTTCATGAGACTCCATTTCCAAAATAATCAGAACAAAATGGACTAGAGATGTGGCTTAAGTGGTAGAGAACCTGTTTTGCAAGGCCCTGAGTTCAAACCCCAGTCCCACCAAAAAAAATAAAAAGGACCCTAGGAGAATAGCTAGTCCTTAACACCCTCAGATCCTGGAAATGAAGTACTTGTCACTTCCAGACTTATTATTATTTGTTATTTATTAATCATTATCATATGTCCCCCAAAAACATGTTTTGGAAACTTAACCACCAATGCAACATTGTCAAGAGGTGGGCCTAATGGGAGTTATTTAGG